CGCGGCTCCTCACATAGTGACAGAACATTTGGGGTGCACCGGTGGCGTTTAGGTGTCTTCTTTGCAGCTGGATTCTTCCATGCAGCAGAAATAGATGTATGAGCAAGATAGAATCCACGGGGCAACCATGCCAGTGTAGGTCGTTATTGATTGGCGATATTGTACGTGATCGTGATATCGCGGGATCCCAGGGCTTTATCCATGCCCCACTACATCATTCCTCAACTTTCCCACAGCTCACTAGTATGTCTGCCGGTTGACTGCTCGCGATCGCAAATATTAAACACATGCAACGAGCTCAAGGGCTCGAAATGAAATATTATTATTCAAGGTAGTTACTCTTATGTTGAAAGTTTGGGGAAGTTCAGTCAAAACAAGTTAAACAACGCATCAATCTCACGGAGCACAATGAGACACGAAAGAAACTTATCCAGAAGTCAATATATTGTGTGTCACAGTTAACCAGCAGATTAGCTATCACCGTGAAATCCATGATGCGACAGAACAGATGTAGTTGGGATAATATAATGGATGGCAAACATTTGGTAATACACCTGTTTGCAGAATTATTGCAAGTCATCTTATACACATTCCCCGGGTTTCCCTTCAGTTGACTGCGGTTTTATATCCAGTATTACCTCACAAGGTTGGCATGGCTGCATTGTGCCCGAACGGAAAGCGGTGTGTCCGTTAGATGAAATCCGGTGGGTATGTGCTGTGGGGTGACTGTAATCTCTGTTTTTCAGTCCAATGTACACCAGTGTGAACATAGGTATTATGTTCTGGAGGGTAGGTAAGTTAGCTCAAGTGAGAATGGCCTATACTGACGATCAATTGTTCCCCAATTCCAAGCTCAATTCCAAGCCCAATGCCGATCCCGATGTTGAAGATTTCCGGATCATGTAGCGAGACAGTAATCACCAGGAATATTGCTGCAATGCAGTAGATTGCGCCAGACTCGAGGCTGGAAAACATGTCAGGGGAAACCAGACAGTACAATATGAAATCATACATGATTCCAATGGCTGTGGTGTAACGACTGCAGAGTGTGCGGTCAAGACCGACATGCAATGCTGCACGCCGGATCCACAATATCCGGCCAGCTGAACCAGCCTTTCAGCATTGAATGTTAACGAATCGACGATTGAGTATATTGACTTGCCAGTGAGAGCCATGAGAACTAGATTTGTTGCAGCAGCCAGGCCGAATGTGATTTGTATCACGTCCTCAACAGCGCCGTTCAATGCTGTGGCCCTCACGATCCCCATAACTACGCCAGAACGGGCCAGTGCCATTCAGTGGTGGTTTAAAATTGGGAAAGCAACTCACCGAAGGTAGATAGCATGAGCAATGCAGGCACAATGACTATCTTCGTCTGGAATCCCCATATCACATAGCAGCGATATAGCTAAAGTCCATATCAACCCATGTACACACAACAGATGAGAAAACTCAACGAAAAGGGAATCTGTTACAAAACTGGTGGTTGGGCTGAGTCCCAATTCGAAATGCAGATTGGGTTTACTCACTTGTTTATAAAGAAGCCGAACTCTCTGATGGTCGTCAATACCAAAACATTGGACTGGCTCTTGTGCTCTTTCAATACTTGCGAGTGCACAACTTGTTGGACGAGGCGAGCTGCTACAACGGCCTGGGCAATAACGACTGCCATCTGTGCCGTTCCCAAAACAGCCATAATGCAACTGATGACTATGAGAAGTTTTATTCCAGGGGATTTCCGGCGACGGAAGAGGAGGTGGATGGTGAGCAAAAAGAGGGAGATGTAGATGCCTATGACCCGGTCAATTACAAGTCAAGGACGGGGTTGCACACGACCCGCCGTAGAGCAGGAGAGAAACCTAGCCGCTTATCAGAATCGACAGCTTTCAGATTTTATGGTACAGTACTACTCACCCCCATTTCCAACAAAAGTTGCATCATGGCATTCCAGCTGTCGTCGAATCGCTGAGAGCCCACAGTGTATTGCATCGTAGTTCTTGGGCAAGTAGCGAGGTGAGACCACGCCAGACAGTTGCCAGTGCTTCAAAAGTATCCAAAGATGTGATGCATCAGAAGTCATAGCTGTGCATCCAGTGATGTTCAGGGCCCAGCTCGGCCTGAAAGCCCGGGCTCGGGCTCGGCTTGGGCGGGCTTGGGCTTCAGATTCTCCAGGCCCGAGACCGAGCCCTGGGTGCGGGCCTGAAGCCCTGAGCCCGGGCTTTTTCATAGCCAAAAAAAAAAAAAAACATTATGCTAGATTCAATCATTGTAGATATCTGTAGGAGTCTCGCGAAGGACACCCAAACCAGGTAGCGATGATAGTTGCGCTAGTTGGTGAATCAGTCATTTCACAAAGATAACAGTCAGAAGAAAAAACTTACACCCCACCACTCGACAGTGGATATGTCTTCAGGCACGGTCTCGCGGGCTTGAAGGTATTCGTTAAACTCGTCGCGACTCGAGCAAGGAGCGAGCGGGATCGATATGGGTCACAGATATGCTGCTCATGTAAATTTTGCTTGGTGAACACATGCTGCCCACCAGTGAGCATGCATCCCAAGTTTAGTAAAATTTAGTTGATGGAGGCTGCCGGGGTGCCATCAGGTGGCCATCACTGATGGTGACCAAAAAATCCCTCGGAACACGGTAGCCGTCACCAAATGTACATTGATGGACACTGTTCATCGATGTCCTTTGTAACTGCGAGCATACATATAACTCAAAATAAAAAGGGACCGGCTAGGAGGAGACGGCAAGCCCGCCCGGAAGATAAATATATCTAGGCCCGGGCTTACAGGGCCTGGCAGGCCTGGCATTCCTCAAGTCCGAGCCCTTGGCCCGCAAAAGCCCTGTGTCAGGCTCGGCCCGGCTTGATTAAGCCCGGGCCCGGCTCGGCTCCGCCTGTGGGCCTGGGCCGAGCCCTGAACATCACTAAGCCTCGCGTCGATGCAGGGTTCCCTCACTGGTGCGCGATCCCCGCCGCTCTGCACGCAATGTACGCCATCCACCAGCCCGAGCCCGACCGAGGCACCGGTACCGGGAGCGATACGTGGATACGTGTATATCTCATCAGCGCACACGCACACGCACGCCCGCTCTTGGAACACCATGATCATATCCACAACGCGGTGCTTCCACGCGCTCCTCAGCGACCCATCCCACGGGCTTTGATCTGCACACGCACGCCGCTCGTCACCGACCCATCCGCAGCGCAATACGCCAGCCTGAGCTTAGAGCTATAGATGGCACTACCGTGACCTCCGCCGGTGCTCGCGCGAGAAATGGAGAGGAGATGGAGCGTGCTCCGCGCAGCCTGGGCTACATACTGACGCGTGCACACATCCCGGGCCCCGCAGACGGCACCACCGTGACGTCCGCCGTGCTCGCTCGCCCAAGAAAGGGGGGAGTCGTCGTGATGAATCGAAAGAAAGACTCAGAGCTGCGCAAAGATGCGTGAGGGAGTTTGCACGGGAATGACGAACGACGAACGAAGCCCGAAGAACGAAGCAGCAGCAGGACTGGGTGGACGTCGCTCAGTACGCACGTGCAGCTCCAACGCTTAGGTCGCTGAAAGAACCAGGTTTCACCGAGTCTCATGTAGTCGCAGACAGAGGACACGGCGAAGGACTCGAAACCCCTCCGTTAGCCCATATCTCCAAACACCGTGTGCGCGTTCACCGTCAACGCAGAGCGTGTCCGTGAACAACTCAGAGGGATGAGTGGACGTGTTGCCCGACTCGACCTCGGAAGAGAAAGATAAGAGCTCGAGACAGCGGATTTAGTGGCGATGACAAGCCCCGCTTTGCCTGGAGGAAGAGCATGAGCAAGCGAAAGGCAGCTGAGGCGGGCATGATCACAAAGTCGCATGAAGATCGCACACGCAAGAGCGCGGTCCAGCCTTCGCGTCCAAAGACTGCGACGTGGCAAAGTCAAGCACACACGCACAGGCTCCCCAACGGAGGCACACATGCAGCCTCTTCTCCCACCGTCCACCTCTCGCCGTGAAAACCAAGTCGACGGAGTCGGAAGTAAAGACACACACCTTCTTCGCGTGTAGGTGTGCTGTGAAAGCGTTTATGAGGACGGTGGGTTTGAGCAGGAGCGGCAGACGGAGACCTGGGGAGAGCGAGCGTCAGCGAGGGTGATCAGAGAATAGTTAGATGAGGGAAAAGAAGGAAGAGGGATACGGAATGGGGATGAGGATACTAGAGCTGGAATAAACACCAGGCTGAGAAGGAAAGGGAATATCCATCTCGGAGCAACCTTGAAATTCATCCCGCGTCCACAAAGGACCCTGACAGGAAAAACCCCGCCCCCCAAAGAAAAAGCGAGGCCACCGTGCACGATTATCGATAACCCTCGTTCCTCCAAAAGGGATAGAAAGAAGGAAGAAAGGCGCCTACCTAATCCTTCACCATGAGCAGCTCCGGTGGATCCATGCACCAATAGCCGAGCCCTCCAGATCGTGTCCTGTACAACGAGAGTCACATCGATCTTCGTGGAGAATTATTCGAGGACCATGCTGGTGGTCAAAGCGCAGTCCATGTTGAGTTTGATGGAATCATTGATGTCGTTCTCACATTACGGTAATGCCCGAAGTTTGAGCCTGCAGCAGTTCGAGGCTGGCGAATAAGATAAGCAGAGCGCCTCCCGGGTCGAAGTCGCTCTCATAAATTCGATCCCAGGTCAAAGGACGTAACCGCCCGACGATGGTTTACACCAAGTATAGCCGTATCGCAGGCAGTCCCGGTTCGATTCGGGTCGGGCGATGAATTAGCTGTCTCCGCTGATTTTTTTTGTTCGCGCGTTTTCTCAGGTGTCTTACTCTAGGCTCGTGTCCTCTAATTTTTCAGACCACTGCGAGGCTCAGGCCCTTTTAAATTAGAGTCATCCGGTAATTGTATAGTATATTTTCATGCACGATATTAAAATCTCTGCTGACTTCCTGAGATGAACTGGCCGATCGCATATAAATTCAACGCCGCACCAAGGTACTCAACCGCCCGATAGCACATGGTGTGCAACTGCCTGTCTTAGGCGGTATGATTTGTCATTAGACTGCAAGAGGTTCCCGTTCGATTCGGGATCGGGTGATACGAAGCGCGAGACCCTTCTTTTTCGTCCATTTTTTTCTATGCTTCCGTGGTAAATCTCCACAATATTGCTGGTCCAACCTTCAATCTAGAAACAATCGGACTGCCACGTTCAATTAATATTTCATTTCAACCACCCCTCGATCCCCAATTTTCCTGTACGGTATAAAGCCAACCCAGAATCAAGGCACTCAACCACCCGGTCGCACATGGTGTCTTAAAGGGTATGATTTGCCACTGGACCGCAGGATCTCCCCGTTCGATCCGGGGTCGGGTGATGATGTTGATTCAGATTTCTCCTTTTTCCTCGTTTTAATCCTTCTTTTATCAATTCCGCAATTTTCCTCTACTGTATAAAGTCAACCTAGAATCAAGGCACTCAACCACCCAATCGCACATGGTGTGTACCTGCCCGTTTTGGGTCGTAAGGCTTGAGTGGACCGCAGGGGTCCTCGTTCGATTCGGGGTCGGGCGAGGATGTGCTCCATGTAAAATCGCTCTTTTTGCCTGTTTTGCGTGCTTTTTTTTTTTTCTAGTGAAATATTGCACAACTTCAACATTCCGAAACAATCTCTGGACCATCGGGAGAAGATGAAATTTCACGACACTTCGGAGCCATTTAAATATTTCAGCATCAGTAACAATAGGTAGGCCTGAGATGCAATAGGTGACCTCAGGCTGCAGTGCCCCTGTAAGCCAAAGTGGTCATTTCGGATGCCATATCCGATGATCCGAACGTTTCGGATCTTCACACGGCTTTCTTTCTCTCAACCAACTCTCAATTTGTCAACGCGACAGAGGAAACGAGAAGTCAAGGACAAGATACATAAGCCTCTTGGACCGAGGAGTCAAGGAGAGCGACGTCGCTCGGAGATGCTATGTATAGGGATAATGCGGTTCAGTAGGGTCCATTCATCCGTCTGTTATTTATCTTGAAAGATTGTGTTCGGCAGCTGACGCAGATATTTTGTAGTTTCGTATCCCTGCATCCAGTTCCCGGCCAACTCGAGCTCTACCAACACTTGAAGGCAAGAGCAGAACTTGAAGAGAGGAATGGTCGAGAGCGGGCCTCAGTACACACCCCTCTTCGCGCGGATGCAGGGCCTCCGAGAGGCGCGCGGCGGTGTCATTGCGTGTTTATTTGTCCTTCAAACTCTTCTCCTGACTTTGCACTGACGAACTCCATTCTATTTAAGTTTTTTGTGCTGTATACACGTCCTCGCTAGCTAGTGACCACCTCGCTACGACAAGCACACGACCGCTTTTCCCTGAGACGGCGCATGGGCAAATTTGCGGGTGTGATAGCCTGGTCAATCAAGTACGTGCTCGTCCTCCCTCCTCCCTCTTTACCCCCTCTTTGTGTCTATCCGTTCCTCCCCATTTGTTTTGAGACTTCTCTCTACATTTCAATCGCTTCTGCTCCCTCGCGCCGTCTCATCCCGCACATTCCTCTGGCCAATGCCCGTCTTTATCCTGGGTCTCATTTCTTCCGGATTTCTTCTCATCCTCGTCTCAAGAGGTCAGAACGCAGTGCGCCTCAATGCGCAAGGCTTACTCTATTTTGATGATGCGCACTAGTACTGCGTCGTTGTGTGCATCTAGACAGCCTTCACAGCCTTTCTGGGTCATTTTTGGCCTTGATCCTCCACTGTTGGCGGCGAGTGTGGCCCGCTGTCAGCAGGTGACACTTTGGATACACCGCAGGAGTTGGCTGCGGGTGCGAGACGGGGCGCGAGACATGGTGGCTGGCAAGAGGCAAGAGGGGAGGCGCACAAGTGGCCTCTGCCGCTGCGTTGTATGCCAGCATTTCGTTCTTCGCATTCACCACATCCAATCTGCTTGCATCCAGATGTGCAATCGGCAGCGACTCACTGGTCTACGCTCTCGTGCCTCCTCTCCAGGTCGTAGTCCTCCAGCTGCGGCCCTGGAGCACGCGGCGCGTGCATCAGTCTCTCCCCCCGAATAATCTCGTCCTCGCACCCCAAGAGGCTAACCCACACCTGGCTTTTTCCATTTCATTTATTTCGCTATCACTTGCGCTCCTTCTTCCCCGCTTCCCGCGCTCATTTTCCTCGCGTGGATGATCTGCGCGTCTGGATGTGTGGTCATCCCTATTCACAGCGCGGAGGCACATTTCAGGACCTTTCCTCCCTCCCCTACCGCTCGCCGTGCCCCGGGCGTCTCCGCGTGCGTTGCGCGTTGCGTGGCTGGGACCTCGACGATAGCGTTCCAGGACACTGCGTCAGTTTTTTGGCTTTTCTGGCTAGCCGCGTTCACGGGGGGATCTTTCTATTTCATCCTCTCCTTCTATTTTATATTCGATTTTCCCGCGCTTTCATCCTGCTCCCTCTACATTCATCTCTCGATTATCGTCCCTCCATCCAAGCTGGCGCTGATTCTCGCTTTGTTTCAGAACGAAAAGCACCGACCGCGCTTACGCAAGCGCTGCCAGCGCCCTCCCCGCTACACCAAAGACGAAGACTCGACGGAGCACGAGCATCGTACCCACACCGCGCGCGTGCATCTGCCAGCGCGATGGGTGGGGTATTCACATTGCCAGAGGTCCTCCACTCGCGCTCGGCCTCCTGCGACGACCGACCACGGGAGTACGACGAGAGAGGGTACGGTGGGATGAGAGAGAAAGGGTATGGAAAGAGGAGCAGAGGAGAGTTCGTGGCGGACAGAAAAAGATGGAGAAGAGAGGCGGTGCTCGGAAGGTCTGTCCCCGTTCTTTTTCTGTTTCCTTTCAGCTTTTTCGAACCAGCGGCCAGATGGGGAGCGCGCTTCATACAGAGGAAGGAGGGCGTTCGGAAAGAAGTTCCGGATGACGGCCATGATCCCCGGTAGGTAGAGGTGTGGGTCTACAGTCAAAAATCAAATGGAAAACGGGGTCAAATCGGTTGTCGCGGCCAAATCGGTCAACCTTCTTTGACCTTTGACTCTCGGTCCTACCCACACTGCCATGATGTGTCGATGGCCCCGGACGGCGATAGCCGGCCCCTTCATAAATGTATTATGTATTTAGATACTTTAGTTTATTATGTTATTGATTTGCTAATGGCAGTTTTAGCATTTCGTGTTTGAGACCTGGACCCAGGAACACTCGCCTTCACCTTGCCGCCATCTCGATTCCTCTGACGTCTCGCTATCTTTCAAACACCAACAAAGGCTAAAGCTCATATCTGCTATACAACCAACTGATGGTCGCAACCGATTCTGATATAAATCTCTGATTCTCCATCGGCGAAGACATTGAATCGTGGTAGGTAGAATTACACGGCACGGTCCCGCTGAGGAACGCCGGATTCCCTCCTCTCACAGCTCAACTCATCAGCACACTACAGACACTTGAGCTTTGGGGGACCTTGTGCGCTATAGGCAGGCACTCGCGGCGATCCGCCAAACACTACTTCTTGAGAAGAATCCCTATAAAAAGCATATCACCGCCTTCCTAGTCAGATGGCGATCTTTGTTCTCCTTGCCGCATCAAGGATGAGGAGGATTCGATGTGGTGGCGTCTGTTGCTCTCTACGGTCTTCCACCACCACGTTTCCCGATTATGTGGCTACCACATTCTTTTATCGCTGTCCTGTTTGCAGTTTTGGCGCAAGGCGCCTTAACCAATACCACTATCGATGACACTAGTTTTACTTTTGTCGGGAATTGGTCGGCTCTATCCACAAATACGCCTTGTACTAGTACTTCCAAAGCCCCTTGCCCGGCGCAACCAGACCCATCGCAAACGTCTGGCGGGACGTGGCACGTCGGAACCATTCATCCTGGAGACCCCCTATCCGCTGCTTGGGGCTCCTTCACCTTCAAAGGTTCATCCCACAATTTGCTAACTCTCGACTCGGAGCCTCGTCCTCACATTGGTCGCAGGATCTGCTGTCTATGTTTTCGGAATCGACCAGACAGGACAAGCGGAGATCGATTTCGCATTAGACAATGACAATATTAACAACCCCAACATTCATAAGCACCACTACACGGGCACACAGCAGTTTGCGTATAATGCGCCGTTCTTCTCTGCGACCGGACTTACCTCGGACCAAATGCATACGGTGTATTGGGGGCTGAAGACCACAGGCAATGCAGTCCAATTCGCATTGTTTGACTACGCAATTGTGACGAGCGGAGAGGACGGTATGCCGACTACTGGTGCTGTGGTAAACTCCGGGTATGTGAATTTTGTTTGTGCGCATGCCCGGAATTGAGCGTTAGTATGTAGACCAGCTACTACTCAGACTACAACGTGAGTCCCGTATATTGTGAAGATTACCTGGAGCTTACAGAAAACAGTCCCAGCAACTCGGAGCTTCCGTGAGTATTTCAATCGATTGATTAGACTGGGTCCTCACAATGAACAGGTCAGAACCGGTGACTCCGACTCCGTAAGAGCTTCCCCCAAAGGACGTAAACACAATTTCCTGACTTTCTTTTTGCGTGATAGGTCAGGCACTGGATCAAATGCGATGAGCTCCCCAACGTATGGCTTTATTTCATTCGCTTTTCAGATCGACTTAAACAATTCAATAGGGGGAAAGGACAGTCACAGGCAATGAAAGCCACCTGGAAGTGGGGCAGGCCAACCGTGCGCTTTACTATTCTCAGTCGTCGCAATTCCCTGACCATCGGATGCCGTCTACAGGACACCTACGTGCGTACTACCGGACTCTAGTCAGAGCTAAATTCATGTCGTTATATAGTCCTCCGTCTGCACCGCCACTCCTTCGTCGCCCCCAACTCACCATTCCACGTCCAATGGAACGGACACGGACACGTATGAATTCAGTAGGCCCTATTTTGTCAACTATACTAATGGTTCGCCCAGGGGGTCTGATGGAAGCACACCACACCTCAGTGACCAGTTCTGCTTCAAAGTCCAAAACTAACGTAGGTGCTATCGCTGGGGGGGTAATCGGTGCAGTCTTTGCGGCACTCGTCATCGGATTTGTGTGGCTCCGCTGCCGCAAAGTGCGCCGTTTAGCCGCGGACCCT